ATCGTGGGGCCTGTAGACTGACACCTGTGTGTGACATGTCGTGGAGTCCGTAGACTGACACCTGTGTGTGTGACATGTCATCGTGGAGCCTGTAGACTGACACCTGTGTGTGTTTGACATGCAATCGTGGAGCCTTTAGACTGACACCTGTGTGTGTTTGACATGCAATCGTGGAGCCTTTAGACTGACACCTGTGTGTGTGTGTGTGACATGTTATCGTGGAGCCTGTAGACTGAAACCTGTGTGTGACATGCAATCGTGGAGCCTGTAGACTGACACCTGTGTGTTTGACATGCAATCGTGGAGCCTTAGACTGATACCTGTGTTGTGACATGTCATCTTGGAGCCTGTAGACTGACACCTGTGTGTGTGACATGTCATCGTGGAGCCTTAGACTGATACCTGTGGTGTGACATGTCATCTTGGAGCCTGTAGACTGACATCTGTGTGTGTGACATGTCATCGTGGAGCCTGTAGACTGAAACCTGTGTGTGCGACATGTCATCTTGGAGCCTGGAGACCGACATCTGTGTGTGTGACATGTCATCGTGGAGCCTTAGACAGACACCTGTGTGTGACACGTCATCGTGGAGCCTGTAGACTGACACCTGTGTGTGTGATATGTGATCGTGGAACCTGACACGTGTGCGTGTGTGACATGTCATCGTGGAGCCTGTAGACTGACACCTGTGTTAGTGACATGTAATCGTGGTGCATGAGGACTGACACCTGTGTGTGACATGTCGTGGAGTCTTTAGTGTGACACCTGTTTGTGTTATATGTCCCCTTGGAGCACGTGTTTCTGTCATGTCCTCGTGAACCTATAACATGACACCTGTTTGTGTGACACGTTCTCGTGGAGCTTTGAACATGACACACGTATACGTAATATGCCCTCATGGAGCCTGCAGCATGACATTTATTTGTGTGATGTTTCCCCGTGAAGCCTTCACCATGAACATTTCACATGGCCTCTCGGGGCCTTTAGTATGGCACCTGTTTGTGTCGGTCACCTGTCGTGTTGTGTGGGGGGCTCGATTATCAAGACAGCTATCTGTTTCGGGGAACACCCCTAGTTATCCAGTGGTGTGGATACCGCTGTTAATGATTCATCTGTGATGGCGTTGATGCTGATGCTGGTGCTTTAAGCCAGATGGGATTCGACACCAGGCTCTGGTCTTCAAATTGGGTTATCTCAAAGATGAACATATTAGTCCATCAATTCGCCTTGCGTTTTACTTCGCTATCACTATCTATCACCACATTCGTCACTGTCGATCGGTGGAATATGCGTGCGTTCTCCTTCGGTCCAAGGTACGACTCCATACGCCTACGGGAGCATTGCGGTCTGTTAGTAAGCATTTACTAACGGTACCCTCATCGCTTGGCGACAGATGCTTCAGAAAGGCAGCCCTACTGGTATGGAACTCACTCCCAATTGAAATCCGAAGTTTACTGGATATAAGCGCTTTATTAGCATCATCATCATCATAAAAATAATAATAATAATACCCATGATTGGTGCTCACAACGACGACAGCGACTCTATCAACATGATAATTGTTGACTATTCACCTGTCACTCAAAGGAACAGAAATCTATTTTTCCTGTACAGGTAAATCTTGACTGGGTGAACGATTTTGTTCACATACCGTCAGGGCATCAGTTTTCTCAAAATAACATTCATATGTGGTATGTTTAATTTCTGAGGTGAAGAGGGTGCAACTGGGTGTTTACATATAATATGAATGTAGTCTACAGATGAAAGAAAACGGCGTGTCCTTTGAAGTTTATTTGATGAATAAATTGTCAACCACATAGAAGCTGTCTTGTTAGTTTCCTAAATCGATAAATGAGTTCTCGGGCTGTACTTTAATTATTGGACGACATATATAATATAGACAGCGTCCATTAAGTCGGAAGCTGTAGTTGCGAAGGCAGTTTCCAAAATAGGACATCCATTATTAAATAGAGAGTAAATATATTATTAACTCGATTAAGGCACAATATATATATTGCATTTTATGTATATTTTGCATATAAGACAATCCATGCTAATGATAGTTGAAAACCGTTGGAAAATAATATTTCTTTTTTCAAACACGGGCAGAATAATTCCAGGAAACTGTTTTGAAATTTGAAATTGAAAGTTTCAAGTTGAAAGTTCACGCTCGCATTGGAAGGGAGACAACTCCATCGCTAGAGCAACTGTCGAAGTATTCAAATGCATCGGTTTGGGGTAAGTCGCTTGATTCACAGATTCGTTTCATAACTGTCTGGTCTAGCCCCGAGAAGAGGATCATACTCGTAATCCACATACGCAGCATGTATTGCTCAACCCCAATAATGTATATTGTAGAATTTCTTTTGGAGCATGAGAATACGTCTGGATGTATGTATATATGGTTCAAGCGAGGTTTCTCATTCTGATCACGTAAGAGCTGGGACGTCCTTTCACTGCACTCACACAAGTGCAATGCAGTCCCTCGTTTCTAAATTTCGAAGACGTTGCGGTTAGGATTTCTCTACCTGATTAATTATTAAGGTTCATATTGTCATAGTTCCTTCCTGTGTCTCCTGGTGATACTTATTTCTATGCGAATTCTAAATGTGTTCGTCTTAAGATTTCAAGATTGCAAATAAATCTGAAATTAGTAGCCATGTTAATTTTGACAATTTCCATTATTTAATTTTTTTGGACATTATTTACATGCGAATAAGTTTAGTAAATTAGATATGGATAATTTCTCTTTATTAATCCAGGTCAATTTTAAACATTCGTTATATTGGAGAAAAATGTCGGTGTGCATATCAATGCTTACAAGGTTTGTAGTGTTTTTCGATGTAGAATTACCTGCAATACCTGGACCTCGTGGATATGTATTTGTGTTGATGAGCAGATTCAGAAATGCTGACGACGCATCTGCTGCCAACACTACCCGATCTACACAGCCACCGTTCATGTGTTGCCAAGAATCGCATAGAAAATCGAAAATAATCTATGTAGAGAACATCACGCCGAGAGTAAATAATTTGGGTGGAGAACATCACGATAACACAGTGCGTTGTGTTGTGTATGTTTCTGAGATTACGTAACCAAACCTCAACGGTCAAAGGAAAAGGGAAATATTTCAATATTCAAATACGGACTTCTTTCTGTCGGGAACGTCCGGATTAGGATTGTTTCGTCGTATTGTTGCCTTTTGTAACTGTTTCAAACATGTGAAAAACACTGCACTGTATTAATGTACAGGCGTTTTCACGAACCCTGAAACCATTTCAGCGAGATTTTGGCGCCACTGGGTGAGGACGTTTGCAGGAAATATGGATTCTACCCGCCTGTCTCTAGACATAGAAAGACAGCTAACATAAACATGTGTTGGGTGCAAAGTAGTTTTTATCTTGAATGATATGTCACTCTTTGTCACCAATCAGCTTTGATGCGACACTGATGTATAACACTATCCAAGTACAACCTGTACCTTGCTTTATGCTTACATGATGGTAAGCTTACCTGATCTGGGTCCGATGCCACATGGTTAAAATGTATGTTGCTGATCACATCGTTTAAAGGTTTAGCATTTTGCCAATTTGCGGCGAAACCCTTCACTCGCCAGTGATTCCAGTTGATTCCAGATGAAACTGGATCGAACTTAATTCCCGGTTTTAATATGTATACGCTGAAGGAGGGCGTGATCTCAAGCAATAAGGCCTGATCTCAACTCATGCACATAGACACATACAGACAGATTTTATTCATGAGGATTTGGACAGTAGCCCCCAGTCCCCAAACCCCACCCCACTCCAGGGGATAGACTTTAAGTTAGGCTTTACAATTTCCTTCCAAAATCGGCTTTGTGGTTACAGCGTCCGTTCATCACGCCGAAGACACGGGTTCGATTCCCTAAGTGGGTACAATGTGAGACGCCCATTTCGGGTGTCCCCCACCGTGATATGGCTGGAGTATTGCTAAAAAAGGCGTAAAACCATACTCACAGAGAGTCATCCAAACGTTTTTATTATTTAAACTATATATCCTGAGTGTTGTGTGGAACATATTTGTGTTCGTGGAACTTACGTTATAGTTGAAGCCCATGGCTGATGCCCAACGCCGTCATACTGCTGGTATGCAACTAACTGCGGCGTCAAACAGTACTCACCCACAAAACATTTAACGTAAGCCTCAGCTCATTCCTGGTGCCTTGAAGGCCACGGCCTATTAACTCAAGGTCACAATGTGTACATGATTATATATGTATCTCTACATATTTTATTCATAGCTTGGAATTCATTGTTCTGTTTATTTATTTATTCTGAATCGGTGTGTCTTGTTTAAATCTGCATGGAATAAGACACGCAATGTGGGCGGGATTCGGTTACCATATCATGATCTGCTGTGATTTTGACAAAGACAAATTGTACGGAACTAACATCGCCTCATTGTGTGAGTTTTTTTCCAGATGTCTTAAGACTTATTTGGGATCTAAGTAAAACAGTAACGGAACGATCGATTAACAACATTGGAAAAAATGTAAAATATGGTATTTGTATTTAACCTGCAAAGACACCTGTTCGTCTCAAACGAATTCTCCTCAGCTGTTGTGGAGAAAGTGGGGAACCTCGATAATCCGGACAGAGAACGGAAAACAGGTTTCAGATTGACAACACAAGACCATATGTATTCCAAACTTTAATCGTCCCAACACAAAGCTCAATCACGTTGTCATAGTGACCGTTATTAGAATACGTAGCACAGCATTGAAGATTGATGGAGATATCCAAGGGCCAAGCAACCATCACCTATGAAGGAGAAACATAGGGTTCTGGAATATGGACCAAGGGTAAATATTGTGTAGAGCAGTAGGAGGTTCCTTGGGGTCAACAACCTGGGTGGACATTTTCAAGCACTGTGGTTACCATAGTTACGCTGCACTGTTTTCACGGTCTACTAATAACCAAACAAGTAATGTATTTAATGATACATTGTTTGTCTTTTTCAGCAACCCAGCAAGGGAAGTTTATCGGGTTGCTGGGGATATCCTGACAATGAAGATATGGTAATATATACTCATATATACTTATATGTCTTTTTACTTTCTCCAGTTCTACCAACCATCAAGTCAGTCCTTCAATACAAACTACCAACCATCAAGTCTGTCCTTCAATACAAACTACCAAACATCATGTCTGTCCTTCAATACAAATTACCAACCATCAAGTCAGACCTTCAATACAAATTACCAACCATCAAGTCAGTCCTTCAATACAAACAACCAACCATCACGTGAGTCCTTCAATACAAATTACCAACCATCAAGTCAGTCCTTCAATACAAACTACCAACCATCAGGTCAGTCCTTCAATACAAACTACCAACCATCATGTCTCATACACACACACTTTCTTTCGTTTCGTATGTTTGTTGTGTGTTTAACGCCGCACAATATTCTAGCTATATGACGGGGGTCTGTAAATAATCGTGTCCGGACCAGACAATCCAGTGATTGATATCATGAGCATCGATTCACGCAATTAGGATACGAGCCACACACAGACATGTGCATGCACGTCGCTATATATGTGCAACAATCTTCGACGCGACGTTAAACCCCATTTCACCCCACCTCACCATGTATGACGGCTCACTGTACCAACACCAAAAGTAGTATGACGTCAGTCGCCTCAATATTCCCCAACCGTTTAGCAATATTAAAGAGCAAGCCGATGTGATAATTCTGTTGAAACACATTAAGATTGTATAGTAGGTCGTATAGACGGAACACCATAACGTGTATAAATGTCATTTTATTAAATTGGCTGAACAGCTTGAATGGTTATTTCTCTGGTGGGTTTTGCTGAAGGTCAAATGGTTACAGATTTATACATAACCTTCATAACTTGATGCTTTCCGCGGTGATATTTTTTTAGCTATATGTATTATGAACAAAGTGTAAGATGGCAAGATTTATCGACTGATTTCTATCCGTGAACAATTGTATCGCCGTAATATACTGTTGCTATCTCGCAACACCACCAACTTCCGCTGGAACATACACTGTTACAGCAACATCACTGATACAGCAACATCCACTTGCACAGCAACATTTCTGTTACAGCAACATCCACTTGCACAGCAACATCCTCTTGAACAGCAGCCACTGCTACAGCAACATCACTACTACAGCAACACCACCTCTACAGCAACATCCACTACTACAGCAACATCACTACTACAGCTACACCGCTACTGCCGCAACACCACTTCTACAGCAACATCCACTACTACAGCAACATCACTACTACAGCAACATCACTACTACAGCAACACCACTACTACAGCAACATCACTACTACAGCAACACCACTACTACAGCAACATCACTACTACAGCTACACCACTACTGCCGCAACACCACTTCTACAGCAACATCCACTACTACAGCAACATCAATACTACAGCAACACAACTACTACAGCAACATCACTACTACAGCAACATCACTACTACAGCTACACCACTACTGCCGCAACACCACTTCTACAGCAACATCCACTACTACAGCAACACCACTACTACAGCAACATCACTACTACAGCAACATCACTACTGCCGCAACACCACTTCTACAGCAACATCCACTACTACAGCAACATCACTACTACAGCAACATCACTACTACAGCAACATCATTACTACAGCAACATCACTACTACAGCAACACCACTACTACAGCAACATCACTGCTACAGCAACATCACTACCACAGCAACATCACTGCTACAGCAACACCACTACTACAGCAACATCACTACTACAGCAACATCACTACTACAGCAATACCACTACTTCAGCAACATCACTGCTACAGCTACACCACTACTACAGCAACATCACTACTACAGCAACATCACTACTACAGCAATACCACTACTTCAGCAACATCACTACTACAGCAACATCACTACTACAGCAACATCACTGCTACAGCAACACCACTACTACAGCAACATCACTACTACAGCAACATCACTACTACAGCAATACCACTACTTCAGCAACATCACTGCTACAGCAACATCACTACTACAGCAACATCACTGCTACAGCTACATCCACTACTACAGCAACTTCACTGCTACAGCAACACCACTATTACAGCAACATCCCTGCTACAGCAACATCACTACTACAGCATCATCACTGCTACAGCAGCATCACTACTACAGCAACATCACTACTACAGCAACACCACTACTACAGCAACATCACTGCTACAGCAACATCACTGCTACAGCAACACCACTACTACAGCAACATCACTACTACAGCTACACCACTACTGCCGCAACACCACTTCTACAGCAACATCACTGCTACAGCAAACACCACTACTACAGCAACATCACTGCTACAGCAACACCACTACTACAGCAACATCACTGCTACAACAACATCACTGCTACTTCTGACAACCGAGACGACCATCACGTTATTACGTTACCAGTTGTTCGTGCTACTGCAGTTTCTACTACCGCAACTATTGTTGCTACAACTCCTCCTGCTACCACAGCGACTGCTACTGTTGCCACTACTAATACTATTAGGACTACTCCAACAAATACTATTGTTATTTCGACATGCATGTACATGTGGAATTTCTTACTGGATGCAATTTTAAAATTGAATGTTAACTATCTCAAGTATTAATCAGCGTTAACTATATCAGGTATTAATCAGCGTTAACTATTTCAGGTATTTATCAGCGTTAACTATCTCAGGTATTTATCAGCGTTAACTATCTCAGGTATTTATCAGCGTTAACTATCTCAGGTATTAATCAGCATTAACTATGTCAGGTATTAATCAGCATCAACATTCTCAGGTATCGAACCAGGATTCGAAACCACGACCATAGGTTTCTGGCGTACCGAAGGGATGCAACTCTGCATAGCATTAATACGAACAAATATGAGCAATGCAGTGAGCAATCTTGAAGTTCACATGTCAAGCAGGCAACATTAAAAATATATTCTTTCAGATCTGTTGTACATGAGTGAAAATAACAATTTAACTTTATCCATTACGTATTACAGACCACCAGATATATTTTGAAATTCGGCTTTATTTAAAGGCCAAGTAGAAGCATGTCACTGCATGCCTCATCACTAGCTCAATTTAAGACAAGTCACAAACAACTTCAGTAATGGAAGCGGAAATAGGAGCCAGATGATGAATATGATGATGATAACAACACAGTAGTGTTGATGATAAATATGATGAATATGATTATGATAATGATGAGGATATGCGTAACGGGAGCAAAGGTTTATGGACATAACGTTAAAAATAAATGAATTATGGAACATGTAAGTGTTCATCACTGTTTCAGTTTATATAAATACATCTTGCAATGAACTATTTTACATGCCATTGGTCATATCATAGGTGCGTAAGAACTATAACAAAAATACTAGTACTATATAACTAACGAATAATTATCACATGCCATGATTTGCAAAACTTATGCCATTGATAAGAAATCTAAAACGAGCTATTCCTCATGTTTCAAAACTCTTAATGATATAATGTTCGAATAAGAATTCAATTAAGTGGTTACCTGGCACGTTAAAAGAATTATCGCAATTATCCTCATTTTTATTTGAATAAAATCTGCATTATACTCATTCAGCATGTTGAATAGGACTATCAGTCGCGCTGTTGCAATGGCACTTGCAAGAAAAACTTTGAAACTTCAAGTGTTATGACCTGTATGAAATAAGCCTCAAGAACATATATCATTAAATACCGAGTGACACTGGAGAGGCTCGCTTCATCCTCTGCAACGTGCAGAATAAATGCTTGGCGGTGGTATTGCTGATCTATAGACATTATCACCATAAACGTACAATACAGCTCCGTTTCTCCTTTATCAAAGCGCGGTCAGATGGCATTTCAATAAATTGAATTTCCGGCATTCCTAGAAATCAACATTGCGGGGATGTCGAGTTTGATAAAATTACATATCAGTTTTATTTGCTTTAAATGGCTTATTAATTCAACTAAATAGAGATCACGTGGGGATTGTTACAGTAAGACTTCTATGTCTCAAATCTCGCGAGAACGAGACTTCCATCGCCAGACGGAAGGGGCGTAATAATAGTCAATGTTCCCTGGCCATCCGCTAATGAATTTTTAACGGGTGTCTCCATGGAATACAAAGAGCATTTAAATGAGAATCTATGTTGTTATTGTTAAGCGATCGAGTGAATAGAAGTAAAGAAATAATACACGCAAACAGAAAGATACATGTAATATACCGTATGTAACAGCATTTGAACGACTCTCTGCAAGTCTGATACAAACAAACGAGTCAGCGATTTACAAGGCGCAGGGGGGACTCTTTTGACACACAGCTGTTTGCACGTACATGTTTACCACTGAAAGTGGGCGCCATGTCATACCTTAATCACCGCTGCAATAATGACGTAGTGACGGTTTACTCAAAGAGAATTACGTTATGTAGACTTGTCTATGTAATCAAACCGGACAATTCGCGATATTTCTGTCCCGCTGATGACGTGGCTTGGTGCACACGAAGTCCTGCTTTCCCCGTGTGAGGGTGTCCTTGCACTGAATCGTAATGATGTCTACTGCACGTCAGTTGCATCAGGTATTATTCAGCGTTAAATATCTCAGGTAATAAACAGCCTTAACCTTGTCAGGTTTGGATCAGTGTTAACTATCTCAGGTATTACTCAGTGTTAAATAACTATCCCAGATATTAATCACTGCTAACTAGCGTACGTATTAATCAGTGTTAACTCTTTCGGGTATAATCAGTGTCAACTATATCTCAGGTATTAATCGGCGTTAACTATCTCAGGTATTAATCAGTGTCAAATATATCTCAGGTATTAATCGGCGTTAACTATCTCAGGTATTAATCAGTGTCAAATATATCTCAGGTATTAATCGGCGTTAACTATCTCAGGTATTAATCAGTGTCAAATATATCTCAGGTATTAATCGGCGTTAACTATCTCAGGTATTAATCAG